TAAAATTGATCGTATCTACAGCGGTGTTGCCAAGTGCCAATTATTTCGACATAAATACGAAGTTATGAAACATTAGAAAGAGTACATTGTCTCATACATTCAAGAGAAATAGCTGACTGGGTGGCAACATGGCTAATATATATCGTTGAATTTCTTGTTTTTGGTGGGTGGCATGAATGCATAATTGATTTATTTCAACCAATGAGCCTTAGAGAACCATTTAAAAACATAGCTCGTTAAATTCTATTTATAACCATGGTTTTCGAGTACATTTTATTTCATATGGAGAATCTTCTCATGGCTTTAAACGTTAACGGGTTCATATACACTTCCATTATTAAAATTTCTGTGATATCAATGAGCCTTCGAGAACCATTTAAAAATATAGCTCGTTAAATTCTATTTAGAACCATGGTTTTCGAATACATTTTATTTCATATGGAGAATCTTTTCATGAATTTAAACGTTAACGGGATCATATACACTTCCATTATTAAAATTTCTGTGATATCAACATGAAAATGTGTACTACCGGAGATATTTCAAAAATAACGTTTTCATTGCGTTTTGTGGCATTTGGATCCCGTGTATAATTGATTCTCCCTTCAAATGCATTTCTTACACTTTCTTCTTAGATTTAGTTGTCGGAAGTGACTTTGAATCACGAATGAATCAGAAACTGTTTATACGCTCCGTGAATTTTACAATTTGGCAATGTTCATTATTTGTATTGTTCCTATTGGTCAATCGAACGAGAAGCGGGACTAGGCCTGTGACGTCACGAGTCTAAAAACATTTTTAATAATTAATTACGGGAAAACGACGCTATTTAGAGAGCTGGAAAAAGTACACTATTTTTCAATTTGAAATTACTACCAACAGAACTGTTAACTACAAATCATGAAACAAGCCCATTCTAGATCCTCATTAAGATATGATAGTACTTGGCGTGCTTTTTTGGTAAAGTTTTGGTTTCTTCATAACCGCCTTATCACCAGACAACAATTTTCGGACAATGCATTGCCCGGTATTTCGATTTCGAAGAATAATCGGCGTTCCTACTGATTATTAGTCACTTTTCGATTTCCTTTTAGAACCGTTTTAATTGCATGTATTAAAATTCGAAGGTTGACTACTACCTGCCCACGTATCGAAAGTCTATGGATGTTGTAAGACAACCAAAACTGGCTTGCAACCTACCTACGTAAAATATTTTGTTTACGACAGTTTTAAAATAAATCCAAAAATGAATACTTGTTATGCACTGGTGTAGGTGAATAATTATTAGTCACTACTTTTTGTCTCTACTTCTTCAATATGTCCATATGACTGCCATTTTTGTCCATTGTATTAGTAGACTGCATCTAATGCATGGTTCATGCCCCAGAATACGAGGTATGTTCAAAAAATAAGTGGAATTTTCATTTTTCTCAAAAATATGTATTTATGCATCAATTTCTATTTTGTCCCCTTCAATATAATAAACTTGTGCCAGTGTTTCGTCCAATCCTTGAAGCAGTTCTCAGCGATTCGGTTTTTATCTCCTCAATCGTCGCAAAACGCCGTCCTTTTATGGGTCTCTTCAATCTTGGGTACAGGAAAAAGTCGCTGGGGGTCAAATCTGCTGAATACGGTGGGCTGAAGCATGGTTACGGTGTTGTTTTGGACCAAAAATTGCGACCTGCTAATGACGAGTGAGCAGGTGTATTATCGTGACACAAAAGCCAAGTTATGCGCCGTTTTTTACACAATACCGGCGCATAACTTCAAGATAATACTCCTTATTGACCGTACGACCATCCCTGATGCACTACGCCACGGTAAAAGAAGAAAACCGTGAGCAAAACCTCAACTTTTGATCGAACTTGGCGTGCTTTTTTTGGTGTTGGCTATCCTGGGCTCTTCCATTGGGACGATTGGACTTGGTTTCGATGTCATAACCATATACCCATGATTCGTCACCAATTATGACCCTTTTAGGCAAATCTGAATCGCCCGTTGACGTCATTCAACAATTCCTGAGCGACGCTCTTGTCATTTTTGTTGGTCAAAATTAAGCAATTTTGGAAGGAACTTCGAAAATATTGCATGGCATAGGCCAACCGATATGCGTCCTCGGCAACTTCTCTATAGTCTGTTCAGAACTGAGATAAACTACATATATTTGGATGATGCAACTAATTTTCCTTTATTTTCAGAATTTTACTATTGATGTAAGTTACAAAAAGGATTTGAAGCTCTATAATTTCTGTTTAATTATCTGCGAGCGCTTTCGACAGCTGGTCGTGCTGTCATCCTCTAGGCCCTACTCTATCTGAACGTGTCATCCTGTTGTGTGTCCTTTTATACGACACGCCATACAAAACAAACATAATTTCCCCCCACCAGAGAACATAAAACTCATAAAACAAGTCAATAAAGGAAATCGCATGGACATTTGGAAAAACTTTCCATAAATTCAAGTCATAAATCACTTATCGAGGAATAAGTACAAATCAAAACACAAAAAGACCTAACATTATTAAACAAATCAAGACACACTCCTTGAAACAATAAACCTAGAGAAGATCCAACACAAAGAATAGTACCTGATGTAATCCAAATACAGGCAAGTTTACCTAAAGTACCTGAAGTACCTGTATTGAGGCGTTCGGACTGTATAAAGTTGTGTGAAGGTTCGACGTATGTCTCAATTGAAGAAGAATCTTTTATAATTTTCGGGTATGCAGTCAATAAGATGATGGTAAAATAAGTAAACTCTTTTTTCTGTTCTAGCTTTCGAGTCTTTACTGGTTCTTCATCAAAAACTCTACAATGAATTGATAATTGATTTTAATAATTAATTTAACAAATTGTGAAACGTGTGACATTTACGAAAGTGAGGTTAGTAATCCCTTTCACTTGCCGCGATTTGGGAAATGTTATGTTTACAAATCGCGTCAACTACGACAAACATGAAAATATGTCCAGTAGTAACCAAGTCATTCTCCAACAAATAAGTATTTAATTGAAGGGGGTTTCAAAAACATTGTTTTTGAAGGCGGAATAAATAGATATTCCTTTGAATTATACCGTAAACAGACACGCTGTACCCATCAGTAGGACCGACTTGGCTTTTTCCATAGGAAGATAATATTACATTATTTTCTGTTGAGCGTTTAAAGGGCATGGTAAAGGGGTTAGTCTTAGTCATTGAACATGGGTCAGTGAGGTTCATACCGTCTCGATGGTTTGGCAAGACCAGAACATCAAAATCCTAAAGTGTGTCTCTCAGTACAGCCACACTTTTCTACTTCTTGAAAATGGCTTCAAAGTCGAAGCCGAAACGTCGAACAATGCAAAACTTTGAGCGCGGTTCAACCCGAAATTAAGATATTCAACCGCGAAAACCTATTCTATTTGTCTATTTATCGGGCGACGTTTCGAACCCCCATCCATTTTCACTATCAAACCTACGATCAATTTGATATTGTCAGTGTCAATAATAATAATATTGAATTGATTTACATCATAAACAGCGTCGGCCGCCTCTTTTGAAGTTATTTGTTAAAAGTCACTATTTTAATGGCTCGTTAGCGGCATTCTCACCTTATTCACCTTATTTTGTGAACATACCTCATACTTTGTTTTACTTTGATAAAGTTTTAATTCATTGTCAATTAATGGTAGCGTTCATACTGCACACTTTTACTTCAAAGTCCCATCCCTTTGATTTACCTTACGACAAATTTGAAGAACGAGTAAAATTTTGGCGTATCAATTTATCCTGTGATTGCTCAAATCAAGTTTTGAGTGCAAGATTTGAGAAAATCAAAATGAAATGTTTTTACTCCGCCAGTAGTGAAAGAAGTTGCTGAAATTTCATCAATGAATTCATGGACAGAATAATTTAAAAATATGGTATATTTGTGGCGGCGTATATCTCTCATTTGAATTGGAAAAAAATCGATTTGGGAATCTGTCGTATTGGTGTTTTTTACGGAATTAGCCATTATTAAATGAAGTGAGTAGTATCGATATGCATCAATACAATTATGTTTTTATTTTCTCATGGTTGCACTAATAATGAGATGTACTGCATGAAAATTTGTGTTTTACAAGGCCTTGAAATAGCTTTATTAGTAAATGTGTCCAATTCCAAGACAAAAATAACTCGAAACTTTACAATAATTTTTATAAACTTTATAACTCATACAGGAATAGTCGTCCAGCTAATGTCCAAGATTTGTTGTTTTTAAACTATCAACTATCAGCATGGCAAATGCACTGCCTAAAGAATTGGTATTAATTAACTCATGAAAATGGGAAAAGGTAATATTCCTTTTTTTAAACTCAAATTTTAGAGTGCAGAATTTCTGCAAGTCTACTTGATGTTGCAGGTGCTGACATAAAGGCTTTTAAACACTATGGCAGATGGAAATCATCAGCAGTAGCTGAGGACTACATATAAGCCTCCATAAGAAACAAAACAGATGCAGCTAACAAATATCAAGTTTCATACAACTAAATAAATCTCATTCTTATGCCGGCAAGCAAAACATTTCTACTCATGATCAGAATAATAATTTAGGCGTTGATTCTATTCCTGCAATTAACCAAACAATTTGGTCGAATATTCTAACTGTCACAATAAATAATCAATATCGAATTGTATCTAATTAGTAACAAGTTAATAGTTGTTATGTATTCACCTCATTGAAAGCTTCTCATTAAAATCTGTACTAGACAAGATTCTATTCACACATATAAATGGCTAATATAAGGGCTGATACTCATACGGGTGATTTATATTGAATAATATACTATTTCTACTACTTAGGTACTGAAAAACGTTCTCTTATATTTTTATAAAACCGACTGTTCTGAAGAATCAATTAGTATAGTCTAGAATTTTCCAGTTGTTGTTTATATAACTCATTGAGAACTCCTGCATAGTCACAGATATTTATATCTGAGGGGTCATATATTTTGGAGGTTATACCTATGAATACGTTACCTACCTTGTAGTACTCCTGAAGAAATTATTGGATTCTCTGTTCATCAGTTCAGATCGAAATTTGCTCATTTCTTCTTCCATTTTTCTCATTTCAGCATCGAATCTTTCTCTTATGCTGCTGAATTCAGTATCGATTACACTGAAGTCGCCCATTTTGATGGGAATATTACGTTTAATTCCTTCCGCCATTATTGCCAAATCTACCTCACAACAGTCACAACACTAACTTAACACTGTGCCTCGCTGCCTCGCCCGTAGTAAAATCGCTTGAATTTACTTTATGAAATGCTTCGTATTTCACCGGCTGCATTCACTAGTTATCGTCTGAAACCGGGGATTGGGATTTAAATAGAACTTTTTCGTGGGGGACGAATTCAGGTTGCGTAAAATGTATACACTGCAATGCCTTATGTGATATGATCTTTATATTAGTAATGCCATGTTAAATTCAGGAGGGAGGTGGAGAGACTCACGTTACCTAATTTAGAAGTTAAACAGAATTAAGAAGAATTGAAGGAGGTGTTGAGACCAGTGTTTCTTTTTTAGGATTTAAATTGATTTATGGCAAAATAAACCTTTTTTTGATTATATGACTTTTTTTACAGTTATTTTTTCAAAATCTTAACAACCGTGTTAATTTCAATAACGGACATTTATTTTTTGAAATTATTAAAAAAATATGATAACCTTTCTGTTTTGTTTCTCAAGGTTTTCTCAATTTTCATTATTCATTCAGATTGGGAAAGGAAGGATTTGACGTTCTACTTCTCCATTTTATACATCTTTGGAAGATTCTCACATTTGTTTGTATAAAGATGAAGAAGTAGAAAGCCAAAATCATTCTTTCTCAGAAATCAACCTCTCCTAAAAATATACCTCTTTCAATTTGGTCAAATAGGTTAGTTGCCACAATTTAAAAATAAAATAAGTAAAAAAATATGTTGAACGGTTTTATTAAAATCAAAAATAATGCTGCAGATATGTACTGATAGCTAAAAAATAATGCTGAAGAGTTCATCTGCTAACACACAGTTTTAATTAACCCTAACCTTCAAAAGATACGTATACAAAGTTCACAGCTGTCGGACTATTAGTTTGTGGAATAGAACATTTTTAGTGAAGCAGCTACAGTTATTTTTGTGGTGCACTGTTTGGAACCTTTGGTGTAGTAATGAATATTACTGGAGCTTAATCCCGATATTGAACCATTATTTTAAACACCTCGACACGTGTTTCAATCACCAAGTGATCATCTTCAAGAGGAAGATTAACCAGTTCAATCTTCCTCGCACGTTTCACCAACCAAATTGCATCTTCAGAAGATGAAGAAAAGAAAGCAAGGTTTTAGCTTCCTACTTCTCTTATCTTTATACAAAAAATGTAGGAATCATGTAAAGTAACTTTTTGCAAAGATGTAACTTTCAGACACAAACTGGAAGAAAAGTCCTTAGGAAACAGTTACTTCCATAAAAACATTTGGATAACATCATAAGGAAAAGCAGTCGATTAATTCATAAAATTACGACTTTGTCACGAATGAATTTAATCTACTCATGTCATCGACGCCTGTACATAATGACTGATTCACGTAATGATTCATTCTCTTGATTAAATTCCAGTTACCTTTTTTAAAATTAGGAATAGTATTGCAGTGCTGGTCACTGAGATAAGTGCTTGTTTTCGTTTGTGATGTTGATGTCTATTTTGGTTGTTAATAATTTATTTTGGTTGAGAAATCATCCATACGTTCCTCAGAAGAGGTGCGTTCGTTGCAACTAGACGAAATTTTTAGGTTAACTGAAGATGCACAGCAGTGTTGCCAATGATAAATCGTCAAATTACCCACAAGTGTGTGAAAGTCGGCATTCTCAGAAATGTGTGTTAAAAGCGAAAAAGCTGTTGCTTCAAAAGTCAATCTCCTCATCGATTGATACGAAATGTTCAATTCCCAAGCTTTTACTCCTTCAAGGCTTAGTTTGGGAAAACTCTCAATTTCGATTAAAAAAAAAGAGTAAATAAATAGTGAAATGGCTGAACTTTTCTATTGGTGCATGTGACGGCAAATTATTTCAGAAAAATTCCAGAGCTCGTGCACAATTAGTGTATTTTTATCCTCCGAAGTACGTAGTCATAAAAAAGATAGAAATTCACTGAATACGCACTAGTACTCTATTGCCAAAATAATTCGATATGAAATGTGCTAATAGCAGCATTACCGATCCTCAATTCAAAATAATCTATTTTAGCGAATGATCACATTTGGTAAGGGATAAGTAGTGACCGGTTTTTATATTTATAGGTTGGCAATCATGATTTGTTATTAATCTCATTGTCATACGAAATGATGCCAGGATGTTAATCCTATCGTGAGTTTGATTGCCTGGTAATCACCTGGTAATCAAACCTGGTCATTAGCAACACTGATGCACTGAACTCCTAGTTTTCGCTTTCCTTTCTCTATCTCTTTTTCTCTCTCTCACACTATTATAGCTTTTGATTCCGTTTTTCGCCGCTGTTTTGTCAAAAATTCTTGACGCGAGAAATTAGATTGTTTCAATTTCATACATGTGTTCATAGATGGTGCAAGAATCGAAATCTGTCGCACTTATATTATTCAGATTTTCGATTCATCGACCATAATGTGAAAAGTCTTCCATATAATATCAATTCTTTCACAAAAGTTGATGAAACTGAAAATGTAAATACCAATTGGACATTGTTAAGCAGTGACACCTTTGTATAGAGACTAACCGTGTACAAAGGTGTCATTTTAATGTGTACTCAGCACCTCTGTGAATGGGAGGCTGAAACTTATAGAATCTCTTTATTATTCCTTTATCAATAGTGCCGTAGGTCCAAAGTTTTTGTCAAAATATTTTATATTGGAAAGGGGATATTTTATGCACCTTGGGTTGACTATGACACAGGATTGCGTTGGCGTGACTATATGACTATAATCACCCTCAAGATTGTAATCTGTCAAAAACGTCGATGGCTTCTGTTCCGTGCTAAGTGTTTGTTTTGTTAAGGTATTCTGTGATGATAGTAAATTAGTAGTATACTAATAATACTACTACAGTTATGATTAGTATTGTCCCCATGTGAAAGTGTTAAGATCGAGTATTGGGTGTCATGAGTACATTATTATTGGTTATTGAGTGTTATGTAATCTTGCAATTAGATCACAGATCAGAATGTGCTGAAATCTGAAATGATCTAAGTCCAAGTTTCATTTACTCTACACGAGCAAAGCAGTCTGTTCAAAATAATCCCGAAAAATAAATGGTGAGTGAATGATTGCATTTGTTTCATTTTAAAATTCATTACAAGAAAGAAACAGTTCATTTGATTATTAACATATCGGGAAAAATTTATAGGTTATTTGTTTTGTTATGTATTCGAAATAAAGAATAATTTCGTTTTTTAATGTTCATGAATGATTTCTTATGAAAATAACCTAATTACTGGATTGTTTTTGTCAGTGAGTCGCGTTGATTTTATAATTTAAAAAAGTTTTTTTAGGTAAATAAGTACTTGATAACGAGTTTTAAAAATGTTTAAAGATCTTTTTTCCCAACTATCAACATTCAAGGAAATTTTGATTGTTTTGCAAAAGACTGGGAATTAAAAAAAAAGAAACACTATTGCTCCAATATTTAAATAAATTTTTTCACAATACGTGTTCTGGCTGCTTAACATTTTTTTTGTAAATTTTTGTTGTATGTAATAGTGTTTGCATAGAGTAGTTAGGTATATTGGAAATGTGATTTGTGAGTGAATTGAAGTTGTTGCTCCAAATGAAGATTAAACCTATCCTGCAAATCTTCGATCATTTATTTCCTCATTGCATAATGTGACGGGTGGTATTTTATAGTTGAAATACTTGAACCCATTTGAATATTAATTTTTTCGGATCCAAACGTTTGTGAAGAGTGATAAAAATGGCAAAAGTTTCCATTCACTACACAGAAAACAAGAATTCTGTGGATACCAGGAAGGTAGTGAGCTAGTTGGCTATCCATCCAAGTATATGAAAAACAAACGCTCTGAGATATTAAAATGGTCCTCATAAAGTCGTGACATTGAATTAACTTTATACTCAAGGTTGTTACTAGGGCTCTGAAGTCGGTAAAATTATCCACTTGGACTTCCATCACATTTTTAAGCAAATGGTATCAAATTAGTCTTGCATTTCTCTGCCACTTATTGCAATTCGGAACCCTATTCTATTGAGAATGTAGAAAAGTGATGTAATTCGTTTCAAAACAAGTTTTGTAGGTCATGAATTATGCTCCATAATATTGATAATGAATAAAAATTCATTTACATAATATAGTTCTTGTTTTCTTTGTAATATTTTATTGGTCAAAATTGGCTCGTTTTGAAGCTTTATATCTTCTATTAATTATCTGCGAGCGCTTTCGACAGTTGGTAGTACTGTCATCTTCTAGGCACTCCTCAATATACGCGTCCCGCGTTTGTAATTTTCATCGTTCCGACGTTTCGGCTTCTGGAGCCATTCTCAAGAATCACTTAGATTTGTACTTACATGACCGAGGACGAGGTCCTAATCTCCTTTGTCCCCAAGTATCGTTACTAGATCTATGTTTACCGTGTTCTAAGTTCGTACTGTACGAACTAACTACTACTGAACGAACTAACATTCATTTCAAAACGTTTATTATTAATTAAACAAATTTTACAAATCTAGAAGACCTGCGACAGAGAATTGACATCTTCAATAATGTAAAGAATGCTTTTGAAAGTTGACTATATTTTTTATGGATCTAGAGGGAGGTCATTTTGAACACTTTATCCGTTGATTGTGTTGCCATTGATATTACTTTTGTTGATTTCCTCAATAAAATGAGCGACAGCGAATTTTCTGTTTTTTCTTAAATAAAACGTTCAACATTCAATTTCTCGATAATGAATGAACCAATTTCTAAAAAAATTACAGAGGTAATAGAGAAACAAAATACCTTTCAAATGATTTATCACTCGACCCCCCATGCTATTGAAAAAAAATAGGGCGGGTAGTTGATGACTGTAGGGGGGTGAAGTTTCCATATCAGAGTTAGTTCCCCTAGAAATATAAACTACGTGTTATTTGAAATTTTCGATTACACGTTCGTTTCTGATCTACAGGGGTGGGGGTCAAGTTTTAGGGGGGTCAGTTTGATTTTTTGAACACAAGGTTTATTCCGTTTCAGGGGCCTCAGTAAAACATGCCTCCTGTGCCACCCCAAAAGGCCGAATTTCCCAAATTTGTTGACTCACTATGGTGTGTGTACATAGTGTCGGTGGCAGCAGCATTCAACGCAGAATTTGGTGAGTATAAGTCGGTTTCATCATACAGGACTTTAGTAAATTCATATCAACTACCTACACCTACATCATTGTATAATTCATACAGATAAATGATCATTTTGTTTACACAACAATAAGGAACACATATATATGAATTTAGGCTTTTATGACTGGTTCAATGTTTTGGTTGGTTTTTATGTTTTGCCGTGTTCAAACGTTTCAACTGCAACATTCATCCTCAGTGACGTGGTCAAAGTACTCTTCTTGACGTAACAACTGAAACTCAAGTGAAGAAGACATTCCGCCACTGAAGATGACTGCTGCAGTTGAAACGTTCGGAAATTGTAACCAAAGAAGACCACGGCCAAACCCGGAAACCAACGAAAACAGTAAGGAACGTAATTATTTTTTCACTGTTAACGTCGGAAATAAACTATTATTACGTTGTTCCAAAAGTTTTGTTTTTTATGAGTCTCTCTCTCTCTCTCTCTTTATATTTTGGATGGTCGTTGCTTCATATCTTCAGCCAAATTTTACCAATGCTCCTCGTGTTACGTAATTGGCTGTTACAGCATCATCCTGCCTTGGATATTACTTGTGTACTTGAAACGAAGGCTAACTACAAAAATAAACTGCATTCCTGTTTCCAGAATAATTATAATTTCAAAAGAGCCAACTTGTGGAATTGGCCGCGGTGGTAGTGCGTCCGACTCACGATCGGAAGGTCGTGGGTTCGATTTCCGCCTCGACCAGATATTTTTCTCGAGAGAATTTATCTGGTTGAAGCTGGAATGATTCCGCAACCGTGTTAGGAATCACACGTTAAAAGGTAAGACCTCGTTAGTCCTTAGCTCGCACAAGTTTCTCAACTTCTGAAAGTTGTCGTTCGTATGGGGGCGGCAGCTGATTAACGGAAAAACAGATTTTAAACAGAAACAGATATCCACAACTGTATAATCAAATATCTCATATTGACTGGACCTTCTTGGAAGTTATTGATGACTCAGAAGATGCATCCACATATTTCTATGGAAAACTTTATAATGTTTTTGATCGCCGATGTCCCAAGTATCCAAAAATAAATATCCTCCTTGGTATAATAGAAGCATTATTAGAGATTTGCAGGCTAAAAGCAGAATCTGGCGGAAATACAAGCGTGAGTGTAATCTGCAGGCCCTTGAAGATTTTAAACATCTTCGAGCAAAAATAAAGCATGATGTTGATGTGGCATATAAAAAATTCTTAGGTGAAAATGAGGAAGAAATACATATCAATCCCAACAGATTTTGGTCATTTACTTTCTTCATTAACGTGAGGATTTTCGTCGGCCCAAAAATGGTCATTGTGGAAATATTTGGTGAAAAATTATTATTGTGTGCCATGGTATGAATCCACAGCCGTCTATACCTGATATGGGTATAGAAGGTTGCTTTTTGAACTGTCCATACTGTTTTTGGGATGACTTCCAGCTGCAGTGTAATCTTCCTGGTACTTTTTAAAGAATCTTCTATCGATCCGATCCAAAAAAGGATCGTTTTGGTTGCGTAAAAGCAAAGAAGAACAGATCTCGAGCTTGTTGACCCTTCCAATACGTTTTAAACCATCAAATACCATATGGTAGCTGAAGCTTATAGTATAACCAATAATGATTGAGAGTAAAGCGCGTTGTCATATCTAAATTTTACGTTACCAGTTTATAGCAGAATCAAAATATAGTAAGCAGTAGAGTTGTAGGTTGTGGCAAATTATAGATAATACACAATACTAGTACGATTAAAAGGTATTATTTATGACAAAAATCAGTAATGAGCTTGTAATGAGTAATACTTATACATTTCCTGATTACTGATCAGTTAAAATTCATTATTTTCTGTATAGTGTTAGATATTTATTACAACTAGTGGCAACGCTGTACGCAACGATATTTC